GCTAGACATATGCGCGCCCATCAAAACAGTAAAAGTAACAAAGCCACGCTATCTTTGTATCACCCAAAACATTAAGTTCATGATGAGATTGAGAAACAATGCATATATGAAATATAAAAAAGGGGTAAGGGATGCTCTTTCTGCAGATTTGATCAATGTCAAATGGGTTTATTATAAACAACTCAGAAATTTTGTAACAGCTTCCATAAGAAGAGAAAAAAAGCCTATATAGAACTGCAGCTTAAAGAAGGTAGAAGTTCCCGTGATTGGTGGCGAACCATCAAACAGCTAGGTGTACATAATCCTGTTAAAGATACTTTAGAATGCACATTGCAACCTGATTTAGAGAACAAATATTTCCTAAATTCCATTCCAGATAATTGTGTGGATACCAGTATTATTCATCATTATAATAGCAATGTTTTGCCATCTATAGACAACTTGTATCAGTTAAAACCGGTCACGGAGGATAAAATATTACAGATTTTCAATAAAATAAAATCTCGGGCGGTTGGACTAGATGGTTCGAATATAAATATGTGTTTCCTTTTTGTTCTAAAGCGATTACTCATATAATTAACTATTCGCTTGAAAAAGGGTTAGTTCCTAAAATTTGGAAAGCCGCATGCGTTAGGCCTCTTGCTAAAATTGATGCTCCGGAAGGACCTGATGATTATAGACCAATTAGTATCCTTCCATTGTTATCCAAGCTATTACAAAAAATTGTATATGAGCAATTGATGCAGCACGTCACTACCTTTAAGATAATTCCATCTACGCAGTCGGGGTTTCGAAAAAACCACAGCACCGTAACAACTCTGCTCGATGTCTGTGACAACTTCATAGGGGCAATAGATAATTCTAAAGTTACTACTGCTGTCATGATAGATCTAAGTAAGGCCTTTGATTGCTTCAACCATGAACTACTTTTTGCAAAATTTCATTATCTTGGCTTCTCCGATAGTTCGATTAATTGGTTTCGCAGTTATTTTCATGAACGCATTCAGCAGGTAAAAATCGGTGACATCTTATCACAGGAGGGTACTATCTCCAAAGGTATACCACAGGGGTCTATTCTTGGACCTATTGTGTTCTCTCTTTATGTAGCGGACTTAGATAAAGTCACTAAATACTGCAAATTACATACCTACGCCGATGATACACAGATTTATCTATCTTACAACCCTGCTATGTACATTGAAGCGAATGAGATGCTGTCTGAGGATTTAAATAGTATATGTGTGTGGTATAACAAACATGGCTTATGTATTAACCCTAGAAAGTCGGCTATCATAACTATTAAATCTAAATTCAGCAAATTCAATAGTGAATTAATAAAGCTGTGTATTGGAGGTGATGAAGTTTGCCACAAGACATCGGTTCGCAACTTGGGCATCACATTTGATGAGAACCTGTGCTTCCATGATCATATCACCAAAGCTGTTCAGGGTTCCTATGCTAAAATGAAGTCAATTTATAGCTATAAAAATGTATTGTCAAAGCAGACCAAGGTTAAGCTGTGTGACTCCCTTATCCTAAGTAGACTTGAATACGGGGACCTTGTCTATGGTCCATGTCTAATACAGAGCGAGGCATACAGACTTCAAAAAGTGCAAAACAGCTGCATAAGATTCAGTTTAGGTATTCAAAGGCGGGAGAGGGTATCTGATCATATTAAAAATATTCAATGGCTTACTATGCGACAAAGGTGGATACTGCATCTATTATCATTGGTATTATGATAAATAAAATGCCTCCTATACATGAGATGTGATCATCACTCAGCGAACCTGCGTTTTGTAGGATATACTCTTGACTTGCCTCGGCACCGAACAACCCAATTCAGAAAGAGCTTTTCATATGTGGCGCCCGATTTCTACAATAAAGTACCTCAAGCTTTGAAAACTCTATCTGTGTCCAGCTTTAAAAGAAAAGTTAGGCTCTTTGTCTTTGATGACATGTAGCATGCATTTTTTTTTGATTTCATGTAGCATGTATTTTTATGTAATTTTATTTTTATATTTGTTTATTTGTGCATGTTTTCTCACTCGTCACTTTTCATTTGTTTGTGTTTTGCTTACACATTTGTTACTGTTTACTTTTAATTTTTATATCTTCCGCCATATACCTAATATTTTCTTTTTTTAAAGTTACTTCTAATCACGGTTTTTGATTCTGCTACGTACTCTGTTGCTGCACGTTTCTCTTTTGGTCTTTTGGGTCATTATACCGTGCTAGGATTCTAGGAAAAAAAATTTTTTCTGCTTTAAATGTTATTATCTTCAATGTATTTTTGTTGTATTTGCATGTACTTGAATTTTTTTTTTAGCCCTAGTTGGTTCTGAAAAACAGCTTGTACTGATGTAACCCGCCAGGTAAAATAAAGGCCATTTATTATTATTATTATTATTATTATTATTATTATTATTATTATTATTATTATTATTATTATTATTATTATGAATAATAATGCTGATATCTTACCGCCATCGAAAGTCAAGCCGAACTCAATATTCATTTTTGATGACGCAATGGCAGAAAATCAGACTTCTATTCTAGGATACTTCAGCATGGGTAGGCACAAAGGTGTGGATTGCTTCTACTGTGTGCAGAGTTACTCCTGGGTGCCCAAAAGTGTAATAAGAGACAATGCTAACCTAATTATCTTATTCAAGGTGGATAACACACATTTATCTCATGTTTTCTCCGATCATGTAGCACCTGATATGACCTTTAAGCAATTTCAAGACATGTGTGCAATGTGCTGGAGCGACAAACACGGATTCTTAGTCATCGATAAGGATAGCGAACTGACAAGTGGTCGTTACCGGAAGGGGTTTGATAGTTTCATAAATCCACTGGAAGATTAGAAACACCATCAATCAATCGTGGGACTGCATCTAGTACGCACCGGGGTGGATTAAAAGATAGCAAAATGAAACGGCAGCAGAATAACACCGAAGTGGCACTCAAGAAGGAATTAGTAGATGCAGCAGAGTCAGTTCGGAAGAAATTTATTGCTATCAAGAAAGGACGTAAATTCCATGATAGTGCATTGCAGCAGGTATATGTGCCCATTACTAAGCAGCTAAAAACAATAGCGTAAGCATCTACATCCAGCTTGACGAAACAGTCAACACCCCAAATCGATAGTCCAAGCATCCTAAAAAAATATCATTTGATGAATCAAGAAAGAAATTGTTTGATGCGACAAAATCAGGTGTAAGAAAAACTGAGTTGCTTGAGAACAGTAGTGAATTCAATGACCATACATTTGAGCAGATCTTTCCACCGACTACAAGCACATCTAGGGCACAATCTATGGAATCAGATAAATCAGGAAACGCATCATTTGGTGACTTGACTCATACTAAACTTTCTACTATTGCCCTGATGCAAATGCAATCTGACACACATTCATTACTCGGAGCGCATGAAGAAAATTCATTCAGTAGATACATGTCTACTTCAAATCATAGTGAAGCATCCGGATCTTTGACCAACTTGATAAATAACCATATATCTGATTTGAAAGCAAACAATCCAGGGTATGGATGCATATATATATATATATATATATATATATATATATATATATATATATATATATATATATATATATGTGTGAATAAATCTTCAGTCGGACAAGTTATTATTAGGCAAACTCCAAGTGATTTTGGTGGACGTTACCTGCTATTGGATTCTGAGAAGAAGAAGGAGAGAATAAAATTTAAAATGTCTCCCGAATTACTCGATTTGATATTTTTGGACAAACTGCCTGATACAAAGAATTTAGACTCCCGAAACTTGAACACATTCAAAAATATAATGATTAAAACTAATGTACTTCGTAAAGCATATTGTTCTACATATGACTTCAGAAACGATGGAACTGAATATTTCGCTAAATTACTGAATATCATATCAACATCATCGCCTAGACGTCCGAGATCATCAGTGGGTCGGGGTATACAGGGTGACTTCGAAGTTGAGTCATTTATTTTAACAGTGAGTAGATCTGATCAAAAGAAATGTTTTTTTCCTTTACCATTTTTCTGGTAAAATTAAAGTAACAAAGTTATAGCCCTTTGGAAGTTTGAGTACCGCCCTGTCTCAATAATAATATTGTGTGCTCGTGTTTGGCAACAACGGATATAATCCGCCTTATCGGTTCATCGCATCGGAAACAAAAAAGCGAAAGAATTTGGAACGATGTTTTTACAATTATTTTATTCAGTTGTATACAGTCAGTGTCAGTCGGTAACGCGTGAGTGAATAGTGGCGTATGTTGCGTGGCTCAAACGAAATCAAAAATGGCACATGTTTATGCGGATCGGTTTCCCAATCGAGTGCAACCAACCCCTCGTGCCTTTGTTAATGTAGTACGTAGTACAACGGGCTCGTGAATGAGGTGACTTAAGACCTCACAGGGGACGGCATGCCGGTGCTCCAAGACCTCACGATCAAATACCGGTCCGCACTGAAATACTTGTCGGGAGGATACTTTATAAAACAAGGTACATTTTTTTTTTAATTTTTTTTTATTTTTCACACATATTTTGGTTTATCTTCCTTCTACAATCATTATCTGAAGATTAATGACTCAACTTCAAAGTCACACTGTATATTTGAAAGCACCCAAATATAAAATATATAATGATAAGCAATATGAATATGTATATTGGAATAATATCAATGAGTTAATTGATAGAACGAGGCTGCTATACAGGGTGACTTTGAAGTTGAGTCATTAATATTCAGATAATGATTGTAGAAGGAAGATAAACCAAAACATGTGTGTAAAAATAAAACAAAAATTAAAAAAAAAATTTTACCTTGTTTTATAAAGTATCCTCCAGACAAGTATTTCAGTGCGGACCTGTATTTGATCGTGAGGTCTTGGAGCACCGGCATGCCGTCCCTTGTGAGGTCTTAAGTCACCTGATTCACGAGCCCGTTGTACTACATTAACAAAGGCACGAGGGGTTGGTTGCACTCGATTGGGAAACCGATCCGCATAAACATGTGCCATTTTTTATTTCGTTTGAGCCACGCAACAGACACCACTATTCACTCACGCGTTACCGACTGACACTGACTGTATACAACACAACTGAATAAAATAATTGTAAAAACATCGTTCCAAATTCTTTCGCTTTTTTGTTTCCGATGCGATGAACCGATAAGGCGGATTATATCCGTTGTTGCCAAACACGAGCACATAATATTATTATTGAGACAGGGCGGTACTCAAACTTCCAAAGGGCTATAACTTTGTTATTTTAATTTTACCAGAAAAATGGTAAAGGAAAAAACATTTCTTTTGATCAGATCTACTCACTGTTAAAATAAATGACTCAAGTTCGAAGTCACCCTGTATAGCTCAAAAATGGCTGGGCATACAAACCACGATAATGAAATGATATCAATAATAGAAGAATTGCGTGAAGAGGGTGTTATACGTTGATTCGCATATATTTTTATTTGTCAACATAGTACCACTTACAAATATGCCTTCAATGCAGCATGATGGCGCCGTGGACAAATTTGGACGTCGCGCGTCAAAATGGCATAGCGTACGTGGTATACCTGGCATTGGCTTCAAACTAACTACTAATGGTGACTATGATATTGAAAAAAACTGATGAAGAATGTTGGTGATCCTGTGGACAAAAACGATGCTGTGACTGTAAAGTATATTGAAGAAACCATGAATTAATTTGTAACCGAAATGGGTAAATTGATGCGACTAGCAGTTTCCAACGTATTAAGTGATTCAGTGACATACTGCAACAATAAGGTGCTGGAAAGTAAACGTGACTTTGACAAAAAGTTTAACGAGTTGAGTACGATTTTAAACCTATCACTTCCATCTAAATAAACTAGATACCTGCAAATACAAGCTTATTCCATCAGGGTATTCATAGTAGTGAATATGTCTATCGTAAGCGAAACAAAACGTGGTATAGCCAAGGAGCTACATATGGCGGCTCGAAGGAATTTCCCCCGCCGAAGAACTATCATAAAGGGTTTCGCTGATTTGGCTGAAATGCAATCTTTCAGTGACGAGAATGATGGATATAGATACATATTAGTAGTTATCAATTGCTATTCTAAGTTCATGTGGTGCAGACCAATTAAAAGGAAAGATATGGTAACCGTAACTATTGCAATGGATGATATTTTACAAACGGCTACCCATCATCACCCAAAGAACCTACAAACGGATAATAAATCGGAATTCTACAACAGCACTCTGATGCACAAGTATGGGATTAATCATTATTCCACATATAGTACAAAAAAAGCAGCAATGGTTGAGAGAGCTATCCGATCACTAAAACACCTACTTTTACTGAATTTTCAGTCAGGGGGCGCTACCGGTCTATCAATATCTTAGCAGATGTTACTGATTTTTATAACAACAGGAGACATCGAACGACAGGTGTAAGCCCCATCGGAGTCGACTTACATACACGATTGAATGTGTACAATCATCCAAAAGTAGCTGGAAAAGGGAAGCTTAAACCTGGCGAAATCGTCAGAGTAAACAAATACAAAAGTCTTTTTGAAAAAGGGTATACATCGAACTATTCAACGGAGTTGTTTAAAATATACAAAGTCAACATTTCAAATCCAGTTACATATATGTTAGAAGACGTGGAAGGTAGTCCAATAAAAGGCTGTAGTTAGTGTATACAATTTGTACGTTGTGTATCTTCAGCTAACGTTATCTTTAATGTGAAATTTGAAAATTTCCAGAAGGCTGCAGACATCTGTGGGAAACTTAACATTTCTTTGATCGCCTTCACTCAGTTGATGGAAAAATTTTAAGGCATTACAATATAATGTATTTATGTATTTATCATGCGTTGATGTTCTTCAATGAAATAACAACAACTCAATATGTCAGGTATTTATTTAATAAGAATGCATTGTATAATCCTATAGTAAACTAAATAGATAGTGTTCAATCCTCATACACGAGGTTATATTTGAGGATAATTTCCGGAGGTAAATACCTTGCAATCTTACACAGAAATGATCTAAGGTTATAATTAATCATATCACTACAAAACTACTCAATAGTACAATCTTCTTGTAGATACTGCGCACACAACTTCTGCCCTTCCTCGTATTTCCGATTTAGTCTCCTGATCCTTTAAACCTCGTTATCATTCCAACAAATATTCATATCGTAGTTTGTTGAATATTCAGCGTCATTCAACAAATCCGTTAACTGGCACACTAATCTCATGATAGCTGTACGTAGATCCTTTGAATCAGGCCAACGCAATGATGCATAATGCATCCACATCTTGTCAAACCAAAGGGGGTAGGGACCTCGGTTGGCCGCGTGGGTCAGAGTGTCGTGCTACTGACCAGCCGGCCGGCAGAGCCGCGAGTTCGAATCTCGCCTTCGCCATGGATGTTGAGACGTCGTCTGTTTGTCCATAATTAGAGATATACAAATACAAGATTGGATCTGGCTAATGGGACGCAATGTCCTAGTGCCAAAAAAAGAACCAAAGGGGGTGTACTGCTTCTGGAAAGATAAATATAACGGTCAATATCAAATGGAACATGATATTTGTCAAAAAAACTTTACCTGCTGCATTTTCCTAACCCAGTTCCAATCTAAACCTTTATATTACTTATACCCAACATATTTGCCTATACTACCTCATATTTTTTTAAACTAATTACTACTGTCAACAAAGTCAGACTTTATCAAACATTTTGAAGGACTACCTGGTGTCTTTGGTGAGCTTTGGCCAATATATGCTAAAGAATATTTGTTTAGGGACTCATTTATATCTTTAATCATAATTTCGGGCATTTTTTACAATACTCTTTTAGGTAGCCAAACCCTAAACTGGTCAGAATCAAAATCAAGAAGGGTTGCTACTAGGCATTGCCCAAACTTGATTGAATACTTGAAATATTCTTAATAGGATAAGATTTGTTTACAGTTAATGATGATAATGATCTAGATGGTATATTGTTGTCAGATTCGCAATTTATTTTATTGTTTATTTCATGCAAGGCTGAGGTAGTGATAGACATTATTAAAAAAATCAATATAGTGTTGGATAAATAATATAAAAGGATGCTCACCAAATTCTATCTGTTAGGTACTGCAAGAATATTATTTGGTCACTTATCGCTGTTAAATGGCTGAATTTGAATGATCAAAGCTGTTGTTATTTCACCATTTATATAATAACTAGCAGAGTTAGATTACCTTACAGCACCGCTGCATACCCTAAGATATTTGAACAACCCAACCCCCAGATAAATTTCGGGTGGGCCACAAAAAAGACTTTGAAGTTGAGTCATTAATTTTCAGATAATGATTGTAGAAGGGAGATAACCAAAATATGTGTGTAAAAATAAAAAAAAAATAAAAAAAATGTTACCTTGTTTTATAAAGTATCCTCCCGACAAGTATTTCAGTGAGACCTGTATTTGATCGTGCGGTCTTGGAGCTATAACTTTGTTACTTTAATTTTACCAGAAAAATGTTAAAGGAAAAAAACATTTCTTTTGATCAGATCTACTCACTGTTAAAATAAATGACTCAACTTCGAAGTCACCCTGTATAGTCAACATTTCAAGTATTCTGCACCGAACAGCTGAGAGACTTTACAATCGGCATGGCCATTGTGAGGACAACAGTGCCTTAACAACACCTTCCATCGACGACTCCTTTTCTTTTATAAACGCGTTTATGATCTGAGGACAGAAGCACGAAAATGTTTTACAGTTCTTGATAAGGGGACCGAACTGCTGTGTGGTTTTACATCATTGAGAGGGTAACAATGCCTTCCTCGAGCTATTTATACGATACAAATTTGTCGAACAACACGTTTTCGATGCTATAAGGATGGTCATTGAGAGGACTTGGAATTTAAACACCCACCGCCCCCTACCCCACCGCACACGACGATTGAGAGGGCAAAGAATGGTCATATCACAGTATCATCG